AAAAAAGATGTTTGTTAGCTGATAAAAAGGAAGAGGAGAAGAGATAAAGGTAGCGATTTTCTCTACTAAGGACTGACATTTCCATCACAGTAAGAACAATGAAGACTCAGGATAGCAAGACAATATAACTAGAGATTATCATCTCCATATGAACAAATGATCTGATGGTTAATGAGACAAGAAGCCATCACTTTGAAAGAGTAGAGTAGTTGTGCTGTCGTTGGAAGGCACTGCCTGATCCATGAATGCCTATGTACATATATATATATTACGTATATGTATATATATATGAATGACATGTTTTATGGATAAATGTTATTTTCTGTGCAGTGCTGTATAGATCTTTAGACAGAAAGCAAAATATAAACCAGAAATCAAGCCATGTTAAATACCATAGCTGAAGCTCAGCATGGATAAGAAGTAAACGTTTAGCCTAGTTTACTTAGAAATATGCACATTCTTTAGTCAGCTTTCCATCACGCTAAGGAAGTAGCAGAAAACTATCTCACAAATAGGAGAGTTGTTTTGCTTCTTGATTTTGAGAGTTCTGTTCCACAGTCCATCAGATCTGTTGCTTAGGGGCCTTTCTGGTGGGCATGCTCAGTAGCAATGGCTACAGACAACCGCTCCACCATGGCCAGAAGAGAAAGGAAGACTAGAATGGGTCCTATAGTCAGGGCACACCTCCGATGTCACTGTCTCGAGGACCTCCCACTGTACCCTACCACCAAAAACTGTTTTAGCACTTTCCAGCATCTCACCTAAAAACCAAAGCTTTGCCATGTAAGCTTTGGGTAGGGATGGGGGTCGGGCGTCCAGGGTGTGGACTACAGCAGTGTTGAAACCCTGCAGAGCCTTCGCTGTGAAGGGGTCCAAAGCAGAGAGCGTTTTCTCTCAGCAAGACTGCATCTTAGTTTTGACAAGAGAGAAATTCTGAGAAGTCCTAAATGTAAAGATTTATTTTTATTATTTGTTACAGTGTGTGTGTATGTGTGTGTGTGTGTGTGTGTGTGTGTGTGTGTGTGTATCAGGGGCTGGGAGGGAACTGGATCTCCCCTGGAACTGGAGCTAAGGGCAGTTGTGAACTGCCTAACATGGGTCCTGGGAACCCAACCTGAGTCCTCTGCAGGAGCAATACATGCTCTTAACTGCTGTACCGTCTCTGCAGCCCTGGTATGCCCTAAATCTAAAGAAAAGGACTGGAGGATGCAATAAATAAATAAATAAATAAATATTAAGAAATAC